GCAGCCGGGACTCGAACCGGTGCCCATATGGAATGCTGGCACTGCAGGCAGTGGCTTTACCCACTATGCCACAGCACTGGCCCTGAATTTTAAATACAATTTTTACTTTATATTATTATATATTTTATATTATTAGAAATATTACAATGAGGGGTTGGCATTGTGACACAATGAGTTAAACCCCCTGCCTTGCAGTGCTGGCATCCCATATGGGCACCAGTTCGAGTCCTGGCTGCTCCTCTTGTGATCCAGCTCTCTGCTATGGCCTGGGAAAGCAGTGGAAGATGGCCCAAGTGCCTGGGCCCCTGCACCTGTGTGGGAGACCCAGAAGTTCCTGGCTCCTGGCTCCTGGCTTCAGATCAGCTCAGCTCTGGCCATTGTGGTCAACTGGGGAGTAGACCAGTGGATAGAAGACCTTTTTCTCTCTCTGGTTCTACCTCTCTCTTTTTCAAATAAATAAAAATAAAAATATTTTTTAAAAAAGGAAAGAAATGTTACAATGACAGTAGTTTCCATTTACCATGCACAGTGCTCCTTGGTGTTAACATTACACATTACCATGATACAGTTTCCAAAACAAAAACGCTCCCATTGGTAAGTCTAATCTGAACTCCAGATTTTCTTTGGACTTTGCCAGCTTTTCCACTCATGATATTTTTATGTTTCAGAATCCAATTTAGGACACACATCGCATCTGGCTGGCTCCCGTTTGGTCAGGATCACCCCAGCTGCTGTATGACAGTAGGAGAAGAATTATACAGTGGTCCAGGAGTAGGGTAACAGTGGCTGGACCAGGATGTGGGAGGTGGGATTGTCAAACACAGTAGGATTCTGGGTGATTAAAGGTGGAGTCAACAGGATTTGCAGGATGTGGGGTATAATAAGAAAGAAGGGATTGTATTAATTTCTTATTGCTATCACAAAACACCTGAGGCAGGATATGTATGAAGGCAAGAGGGTTTTATTTTTTAAAAAAGTTTGTTTGCTTGACAGGCAGAGTTACAGAGAGGGAGAGACAGACAGACAGAGAAAGATCTTCTACCCGCTGGTTCACTCCTCAAACATCTACAACAGCTGGGACTGGGTCAGGCCAAAGCCAGGAGCCAGGAACTCCCTTGAGGTCTCCCATGGGGATACAGGGGCCCAAGCACTTGAGCCATCTTCAGTTACTTTCCCAGGCGCATTAGCAGGGAGCAGGATCAGAAGCAGAGCAGCCGGAACTCATATGGGATGCCAGTGTTGCCCGCTGCACCATAGCACGGGCCCCTGTCCCTAGTTTTTAAATATTCATTTATGGAGAAAGGACCCCATGAAGGTGAGTTAGCCGGGGCCCACAGAAGTTATAATGTCTCTTTCTGTGTGTCTTTTTTTTTTTTTTAAGATTTATTTTATTTACTTGAAAGACAGAGTTACAGTGAGAGGTAGAGACAGAGAGAGAGAGGTCTTACATCTGCTGGTTCATTTTCCTAATGGCCACAGTGGTTGGAGCTGAGCCAATCTGAAGCCAGGAGCTTATTCTGGGTCTCCCACATGGGTGCAGGGGCCCAAGCACTTGGGCCATCCTCTGCTGCTTTCCCAGGTGCATTAGCAGGGAGCTAGATTGGAAGTGCAGCAGCCGGGACACAAACCAGCATCCATATCGGATGCCAGCACTGCAGGCTAAGGCTTTTTTGTTTGTTTGTTTAAAGACTTATTTGTTTATTTGAAAGGCAGAATTACAGAGAAGCAGAGGCAGAGAGAGAGAGAGAGAGAGAGGGAGAGAGGTCTTCCATCCACTGGTTCACTCCCCAGTTGGCCACAACAACCAGAGCTGCACCGATCTGAAGCCAGGGGCCAGGAGCTTCTTCCGGGTCTCACACACAGGTGCAGGGGCCCAAGGACTTGGGCCATCTTCTACTGCTTTCCCAGGCCATAGCAGAGAGCTGGATCGGAAGTGGAGCTGCTGGGTCTTGAATGGACACCCATATGGGATGCCGGTGACAGCTTTAACCTGATGTGCCACAGTGTCGTGCCCCCCCCCATCTCTCTATCAAATAAAATTTTAAAAATCATCAAGAATTTGACAGAAGTGGCAGTGAAGAGAGTAGCAACAAACCAGCTACTAAAAGCTTCCAGGCATGAGGGGGCAGTCAGTGAGATCACGTGATGCCATCAACTTCAAAAGCTTCAAATACCTTTATTGCTTCATCAGTGAATGTTAATGCTGTTCCTCAATGAAAAGGAATTTTTCAGCTGGCGCTGCAGCTCAATATGCTAATTCTCTGCCTGCGGCGGCGCTGGCACACTGGGTTCTAGTCTCGGTCAGGGCACCGGATTCTGTCCCGATTGCCCCTCTTCCAGGCCAGCTCTCTGTTGTGGCCCGGGAGTGCAGTGGAGGATGGCCCAAGTGCTTGGGCCCTGCACCTCCATGGGAGACCAGGAGAAGCACCTGGCTCCTGGCTTCGGATCAGCGCGGTGCACGGGCCGCAGTGTGCTGGCCGTGGCAGCCACTGGAGGGTGAACCAACGGCAAAGGAAGACCTTTCTCTCTGTCTCTCTCTCTCTCTCACTGTCCACTCTGCCTGTCAAAAAAAAAAAAAAAAAAAAGTCTGAATAGGAAAAGGAATCAAAACTATAATGGTGGTTTTATTAAGCTAGAAGAATCGTGGGTGATTTTTTCCCTCTGTTTTTAAGATTTGTTTCTTTGAAAGGCAGAGTTACAGTGTGAGAGAGGAGGGAGGAGAAAGAAAGAACTTTCATTCACTGGCTCACTCCACAAATGGACACAGCTGGGGCTGCTTGGCCTGAAACTCCATTCAGGTCTCCCACGTGGGTGCAGGGGCCCAAATACTTGGGCCATCTCCTGCTTCTTTCCCAAGCCCAGTAGCAGTGAGCTGGATGGGAAGTGGAGCAGCCAGGGCTCCCAAGACTGCCACCAGTGATCATACGGGATGCCCGTGCAGGTGACAGCTTAACCCCAGCATCACACACCTGCGTCTCTTCTTATTTTATTCAAAAAAATAATAAAAATAAAAGTTCACTGTGGAAGGGGGTGGGGGGGCTGAAAGGGATCCATGAGAACAGAACCCTGTAATTCCATCAGCCAGGAAAGCCACTGCCCATGCTGAACAGGTTCTGTTTCCGGCCCTTCCCCACTGTCTAGTCTTTGCACGAGCTCTGACTTTTAAAAGGCGACTTTGAACAGTCACAGTGTTGAGATACCATAATCTATTTTCCTACCGTAATATTTGACATGATAGTTGTGTGCGATTTTACATTGGGAAAAAAAAATACGGTAGAGCCACGTCAGTACTGATTCAAAAGGCTGTTGAGGGAAGAGGCGGGAGCGGGGGCGGGGGGCGGGGGTGGGGTGGGTGCGGGTTGGGTGGAGACCACAGAGACCCCAGGCCGGGGGCCGGGCCCCGGTGGGAAAAGCTGCTCTACGGGGACTTAGAGATGTGAAATCACGTTCCAAGGGCTGGCGCTGGACAGCCGCGGTCCTGACCATCGGCGCTCCTGTTCCAGGCAAATAAACTATGTTTCAGGTCCTCGTTTTGCACAGGGGTCTGCGCCTTGAGCCGGAGGGGCGATGAGCCCTGGAGGGGCTGCCCTCCTCCACGCCCCTCTACCTAATCGGAACTCAGGTGGAGAGGCGCGCCTGAGGCCAAGGAGTGCGTGCGTCCAAGAGGGACCTCGGGGCGGCGGGGGGCATTGACACAGGGGCGATCCTAGCATCGGGAGCCTTCCCGGAGCTGACCACGGCAAGGAAGGGGTTGGGATGACAGAGACTTGCGGGGCTGATATTCACACAGGCACGGGTCGGTCCTGGAAGGCTGTAGATGGCCGGGAGCAGAGAGAAACGGACGGCCGGGAGGAAGAAAGGAGGGGGCTGACGAGGGCTCTCGGCAGGCGGCCCGAGCGCCCCGAGTGTGCCCGGGGTGTCAACGAGACGCGAGACGGGCGGCGGGCTGCTGCGAGCAGAGGTGGGGCGCGGGTCAGGAAGGCGGGGATGGGAGGCGGGAGGGAAGCAGGGTCGCGCACCCCCGGCCGGCGCCTCAACCAGGGCTCCCAATGGGGCGCCTCCTTTGGTTGAAGAAAGCGAAGGGTGGGTGGCGGCGGAGGCTGGGGTCTGGAGCGGCACGGGCAGGCGAGGGAAGGGGCCAGCCGGGCGAGGCGCGCGCCGTGCGTCGCGGGGGGGTGGGCGCCGGACGCGGGCGGGGGGCGGGCCCGGCCGGCACACGCTCCCCTGGCTGGGGGCCGAGCGCGCGCCACGAGCCGCCGCTGCCGCCGCCGCCGCCGCCGCCGCCCGGGGTCGCCTGGAGCCCCAGATTCCCGAGCGCGCGGCTGGCATGGCAGCCGCCTCGGCGCCCGGCCCCGCGGCCAGCTAGGGGCGGCTGCTCGGTGGAGCCCGTCGGATCCGGCCTCGCTCTGCGCCCCGGGGTGCGCCGCCTGCAAGCGGGAGGTGAGGACTGCGGGGGGACAGGGGCGCGCGCGGCGAGGGGCGCTGCGGGGACTCCAGGCCCTGCGCGGCGGGCGAGCCGAGCGCGGCGGAGGCAGGAAAGGGGACGCGGGGGGGTGTCGTAGGTGGAGGGTGGAGACCGCTCACTGCTGGGAACCGTCCCTCCCTCCGGCCCCCCGCTTCCCCTCCGTGCGCGAGGCCGCTTCTCGGCGCTGTCCCCTTCCCCGCGAATGGCTCCGTCCCGACCGCGATCCCAGCCCCTGCCAAGCTCCGCGCTGCCCATCCTTCGCCTCCTTCCCTTAGACCCGGTTCTCGGGTTCCTGTCTCCAGTTCCCCCGCAGCCTCAACCCGCCCCTGCTCCAGTGCTCCTGCTGCCCCCACCCCCTTCTTCCGTCCCGGCGCCCCCCTCTCTCTCTCTCCTTGGCTCCTGTCACTTGGAACCCGTCACCACACCGCTATCTTTGAGTCCGGCCCCCTCCTAGCCAGTGCCGTCCCACAGGTGTCCACACGTCTGGCTGTGCACCCGTCCGTCCCTCTCGGGGTCGGCGCTGACCATGCCCAGCGGATGCCGCTGCCTACGTCTCGTGTGCCTGTTGTGCATCCTGGGGGCACCGGGTCAGCCTGCCCGAGGTGAGCGCACCCCAGGGCCCTGGTCGCGGATCTGTCCGGCCGTCCTCGCTTGCACGTTGACCTCTGCCGGCCAGAATCGGCATTGCAGCCGCTGCCACCCGCGGGGCCAGAGAGACCCAGGTGGTTGTCTCTTCGGAATGGGATGGGTCTCGTAGACTCTGAGCGGAGCTCACCCCTCTTCCTGTATCCCCAAATCCTCTCCCAAGCCCCGCCTCCCAGGGAGCGTACCCTCACCCAGACTCACACCCCCCACCTCAATCTCTTGCAGCCGATGACTGCAGCTCTCACTGTGACCTGGCTCACGGCTGCTGCGCGCCGGATGGTTCCTGCAGGTACACTGTCGCGAGCGCGTGCCCCTAAACCCTGTGCCCCCACGCCCCGGCCCTGCGCACCCACAGCCAGGTCAAGCCCCAGGACAGTGTCCAGGGCCTGAGAGCCTGCTGTTCACACCCTGCCCACCTGGACATCGGCCAGCTGGCCAGCCCCCAGTGCAACCCCACCGCCATCCCCCTTTGCCTGGCTTTTGCCTCTCCCAGCTTCTGTCTCTCCACTTGACTCTCCCAAGTCTGATCCAGGGATTCTGAAACATCACTCCTCAAGACACTTGGCGAGAGAGACCCGGACCATGGCGGAGTCTGGGATCCGGAGCTGTGAGGACAGGGGGCGAGCGGATAAAGGACAGTGAGAGGAAATGGTGGAGTGGGGAAGAGAGGCTGGGGTGGAGAGTGTGGCTGAGAAGCACTTGTGATGGAAGAGACTCTGTGGAGAGCCTCCGAGTGACTGAGTCGCTGGGGTGGGGGCTGGGCAGATTCTAGCAGGAGCACGCTCTGGGCAGAAGGAAGGGAGGTTGCTCAGTTAGCTGGGGTGTCTGAGGCTAAGGAGGGTTCATTCTTCAAAATGTTCATAGAAATGGAATTAGAATTTTTTGTGCAAAACCGGTTGAAAACCATACATAAATTTTTCATTATATACATTTTCCATGAACTTAAAAAAAAAAACTGTCCTCACACATCCTTGGAAGGCTTTAAAGAAATGTCAGCTGTTGTCCCCGGAATTGGGCTGGGAAGATAGTCCGATGGCCTTTGAAAGTCCTCTTTTTTAAAAGATTTATTGATTTATTTGAAAGGCAGAATTACAAAGAGGCAGAGGCAGAGAGGTCTTCCATCCACTGGTTCACTCCCCAAATGGCCACAAAGGCTGGAGCTGGGCTGATCTGAAGCTGGGAGCCAGGAACTTCTTCCAGGTCTCCCACGTGGGTTCAGGGGCCCAAGGACCTGGGCCATCTTCCACTGCTTTCTCAGGCCATAGCAGAGAGCTGGATTGGAAATGGGGCAGCTGGGACTTGAACTGGTGCCCATATGGGATTCCGGCACTGCAGGCAGCGGCTACACCGCAGCACTGGGCCTGGAAGTCCCTCTTTATAAACGTTTGGGGGTACCCTGGGAAGGGTCCTGATGGCACCTTTTGCTTCCCCAGCACAACCCCGCCAGGTGTATCCCTGAATCCCAGATTGAGAAAATGGGGGTTCAGAAAGGTTAGAGTACAGAACAAGGACTCGAACGGTGGCATCTGATGGTCTGATTGCACATCCATGTCCATGATGTTCCACAACCCTACACCTACCTGGGACAAGTCTGTGTTTCCCTCGGAGCGGTCGGATGCCCTCCGGGTTTCTAGAAGCTCGACTCCTGCCTCTCTGCCCTCACATCCACTGCCCAGAGTCCAGACCTTGTGCCTCTCCCCATCAGGTGTGACCCGGGCTGGGAAGGGCTGCACTGTGAGCGCTGCGTGAGGATGCCTGGCTGCCAGCACGGGACCTGCCACCAGCCCTGGCAATGCATCTGCCACAGCGGCTGGGCAGGCAAGTTCTGTGACAAAGGTAGGAGGGGCGCGGGTGGCTGAGGACCCCATGTGTCTCCAGAGAAGTGCCCTCTGGGTCTACTGTGCATCTGTGGTGTTCTGCTCAACCGATACATGGTATTTCATCAGCCTTTTTATTCTGTATCTGTTGTGTGCACTAATCTTCAACATGACCCTGGGGGTAGGAAAGGCAGCTGCTAACAATTACCCATAGGAAGCTGAGGCCCACAGAGGCCTGGTAAGGTGCACAGAGGCAGTTTGAGTGACTGACTGACAGTCAAGGCCACAAGCTTCCTGACGCCAAATTCAATGTTGTTTCCCACCCCCGCTCCACCAGAACACTATACCACCCTAGGCTGGTGTGGGGAGGGGGTGGGGGTGGGGGTGGGGGTGGTTCTAGTGTCAGCCACACCCCGAGAGTCATGGGGCTGCAGGCCCTGGCAAACGGGGCCCAGGCAGGTCTGGGAACCGGATGTGAAGAGCCATCCCACATGTCCCCTCTCCTCCCCAGATGAGCACGTCTGTACCACGCAGTCCCCCTGCCAGAACGGAGGCCAGTGTGTGTATGACGGGGGCGGGGAGTACCACTGTGTGTGCCCGCCGGGCTTCCACGGGCGTGACTGTGAGCGCAAGGCTGGGCCCTGTGAGCAGGCAGGGTGAGTGCTGGGCCCGGGCAGGGGGTGGGAGTGGGGTGGGGGGACAGAGTATGGTGATGGGGAAGCAAAGAGGCAGGGTCTGTTGAGAAGGTGGAGACTTTGGGGGAGACCCACATGGGGGGACCCTAAGAGAAAACCCCAGCATGCACGCAGCGTCCCTGGCTCACGGTTTCTCAGCCGTTTTGGGTACCTTCTGAGCCATTTCTTCAAGGACAGCCCGTGGGAGCTGCAGGTGTAGCGGACACACGTGGGACTGCTCAGGCAGGGGCGGTGGGGTCCTCACCTCCTCCCAGAACGCTGCCTGGCGCCCTTAAAGACCTCCCCGCGGTAGCCTTGCGCCTGCCCACCCGTGCAGATGAAGACCAGCCCGCGCAGGACTTGTCCTTTCCCTCTCCTCTCCAGCCTTGGGGCCGTGAGGGTAATAATAGCACACTTAGCCTGAGCCCTGCCTCTGGGCCAGACCCTGTGCTGACTGCCTGACATCCGAGTCTCTCATTTAACCCCCACAATTTGGAAGCTCAGTACTATTTTTATTCTCCTTTAAAATGAGGCACTTGAGGCTCAGAGAGTGTTCCAAGGTGACAGAGCTAGAGAGCAGGCCTCTGCCCCGCGCCGCCCCGCAGCTGTCAGGAACTCGGCATCCACGTCCTCTCCCGCCCCTCCCTCCCCAGCTCCCCGTGTCGGAACGGCGGGCAGTGCCAAGATGACCGGGGCTTCGCTCTCAACTTCACCTGCCGTTGCCTAGCGGGCTTTGTGGGTGCCCGCTGCGAGCTGAACGTGGACGACTGCCTGATGCGGCCTTGTGCTAATGGTGCCACCTGCCTGGACGGCATCAACCGCTTCTCCTGCCTCTGTCCCGAGGGCTTTGCTGGACGCTTCTGCACCATCAACCTGGACGACTGTGCCAGCCACCCCTGCCAGAGAGGGGCCCGCTGCCGGGACCGCGTGCACGACTTCGACTGTCTCTGCCCCAGCGGCTACGGTGGCAAGACCTGTGAGCTTGTCTTACCTGTTGCAGAGCCCCCCACCACAGCGGGCACCCCTCTAGGGCCCAGCTTGGCAGCGGTGGCACCGGTCACGGGGCCAGCTCCCCGCAGCGCAGGTGCGGGGCTGCTGCGGATCTCGGTGAAGGAGGTGGTGCGGCGGCAAGACGCTGGCCTGGGGGAGTCCAGTCTGGTGGCGCTGGTGGTATTTGGAGCCCTCACTGCTGCCCTGGTCCTGGCCACCATGCTGCTGACCCTGAGGGCCTGGCGCCGGGGTGTGTGCCCCCCGGGACTCTGTTGCCACCCTGCCCCGCACTATGCCCCACCGTGCCAGGACCAGGAGTGTCAGGTTAGCATGCTGCCCACAGTGCTCCCCCCGGCGCCTGAGCTGCCCCCTGAGCCTGGAAAGACCACAGCACTGTGATGGAGGCGGGGGCTTCCCGGCCCCCTTCCTCACCTCCTCCGCCCCTCAGCTCCCCATACACATGCTTAGGGGACTTCAGCCTCATACCAGAAATATATTATTTTTTTAATACACAGAATGTAAGATGGGAATTTTATCAAATAAAAATATGAAAATGCAAGTGAGCTCCTATGCCAGGAAAAACCCACCAGAAGTTCCAGCTGCAGAAGGGCCAGGGCAGAGGCCTGGTTCTGGGGAAGCCTCGGGGCTCTGCCCACCGAGGGGTGGTGTGCCCAGAGGAACCACGCTGCCCTTCTCCCCTGTGGGGAAGGGAGGGAGAGGTAGCACCACAGAGGAGAGCGTAAACAGGCAGTCAGCTCCTGTGCGCTGGCCCAGCCGCAGAACGGACAGAGGTGTGGGGGCGCAGGCTCGGGCCCTCAAGGGGAGGGGTGGGCTGCCTGCTGGCTACTCTGCAGCAGCTGCTGGAACAGTGAATGGGGCTGGCTGCGCAGGGCGCTGGGCGAGTCCAGCTCCACAACCCTTCCTGCTTGCAGCACCAGTACGCGGTCCGAGTTCAGGATCGTGCTGAGCCTGTGGGAGCAGGTGGTCAGTGGGGGACCAGGGCAGGGTGGGGGCAACACCCTAAAGGCAAAAGCTGAATGGCTTTCCCACCTCCCCTCTGCGAACAGCACAGCTCTGTCCTCACAGGCTTGCCCTGGCTCTGGGCCTCCCATTGTGCTATAATGGACCTGGGCAGTGCCTAAAAGGGACAGAGGCTCTGGGTCCAGGCCACTGCAGACCGATTAGACTGCCACTCTGGAGGCGGGCACACCTGTGGGCAATGGTCAGCACGGTCTTGTTGGCAAAGCGTTTGCGGATAGTCTGCTGGAGCAGCTGCTCTGTCTTCTGGTCCACACTTGCCGTGGCCTCATCAATGCACAGGATCTGCAATGTGTCCGGGAATGGAGGAGAGGCTTAGGGCAGGCTGGCCCCAGCACCAGCCTCTACCTCCTGCCCTGGCCCCGCCCAGCTCAGCACACAGCCCAGCCCCACCCACCTCCTCACCCTGACAAGTCTCCTGCCTCTTCCTGGTCCTCTGGAATGTCTCCCTCTTGCCTTACCTTGGCCTCCGTGAGCAGAGCTCTGGCCAGACACAGCAGCTGCCTCTGCCCCAGGGACAAGCTCCGGCCTCCCTCTCCCAGCTCACCATCCAGGCCACCTGCGAGCCAGGGCAGCTTCACTGCAGAGCCCGGCCTCCCCTGCTCCCGCCCTGCTCCCAGGGCCCAGCACTCACCCATGGAGCCAATCACCTCCCTCAGGTGGCACTGCTCCAGCGCCTGCCACAAGGCCTCATCCTCATGTAGGCCCCGGGGGTCCAGGTTTTCCCGAACAGTCCCACTGAACAGAAAGGGCTCCTGGGGGATGATAGCCAGCTGGGACCTAGGGGCCAAGGACATGGCATCCAGGTTGCAGAGGTGGCCACTTCTGCTGTCAGCAGTGCCTAGCTATGGGCTGGCACCTCAGGACAGGACAACCTGAACAAAGCTCCCACCCCCACGTAACATAACCCCTACCAAAGGACCAGTTATCGGTGGTGTACCTAGAACTGTGCCTGGCCCTGAGCAGCAAAGAAACCCAAGGCTGAAACTCTGTCTTTAAAGAGCTGACATCTCATTGAGGTACAAACCCCAGAGAAAATGAATGGCCTGACTCAGGGACAGCAGTGGCTGGGCATGGGACACTTCAAGGTCAGAGTAGGTCTGGACTTGGGTACTGAGCAGCTCTGTGGTCAGCCATAAGGTAACATGTTATGGCTTCACAGACAGGGAGGAGGGGCAGGGCCAGTGCAGGAATTGGCAACACTCTCAGGGACTTAGGACGCAGCTTCCTGACTTCAGCTATGTCACAGGACTCAGAAAATGACCCTAGGTTAGCCTGGGCATAGGGGTGGGAGATACATAACCCAGCTGAGGCCACTTGTGGCCACCGGTGATCGGGCCAGCTCTCAAGCTATCCCAAGTACCGCCTGCTGAGCCTGAGGGCTGAGGACTGAGGGCTGGGTGTGGCAGGGCCCAGCACCCAGGGAACCTGGTGTCCAGTGTGTGTGGGGTGTCCACTGGGAAATACGAGAAGGACGGAGTTGCAAAGCTGTCCTGGATCAGCCTGAGGGAGACCCTGAGACCACCAGGTGGGAATCTGAGCACTGGGAGTTTGCTGTCCTTCTCTATTTGTCCTGTTCTCCATGTCATCCCCCTACCAGTGGGGCCCTCCTCTAAGTGCCAGTACTTCCACCCCACCCTCCTTCCCCGAGACCTGAGCTCGGCCAGCTGCAGCTGCCTGGTGTCCACGCCGTCGAGCAGCACCCGCCCCGAACTGGGCTCCAGCAGCCGGAAGAGCACCAGCAACAGGGAAGACTTGCCCGAGCCAGTGCGGCCCACGATGCCCAGCTTCTCCCCGGGCTGCACGCAGAAGGTCACACCGTCCAGGGCGTGGGGCAGCCCTGGCCGGTACACCAACACCACGTCCTGGAACTCCACACTGCCCTGGGCAAGCCAGCTGAAACCCTGCTGGTGGGGGCCGTGGGTGGGAGATGGAGAGATGGGGATAAGGTGAACGATGGGGAGGAGAGGAGGAGGATGGGAAGTGGACAGTGTGAGAGGAAGGTGGGGAGTGACAGGTGCAGGAGAGATGGGCGACACGGTGAGGAATGGTCACCATCGCGCAGAGAGGTGCGGGGAGCCAGGAAAAGCAGGGAGGAGCGGAGGGAAGGGGAGGAGAGGGCCTTTGGGGCTCCAAGCGCACCTGCAGCGGCTGGCCCTGGGGCTCCTGGGGCAGGTCACAGCAGTACTCCTCCAGCCGCTCCACGCTCACCAGCATGGCTTCCGTCTGCGTGAAGCTGCTCACCAGGCCTGAGAGCAGGCCTGTGAGAGACAGGGCGTAGGACAGCGACAGGCCCACCAGCCCTGAGGAGGAGAAGCACAGCTGAGGGGCAGAACAGGGGCCTCCCAAGCCGCGGGCGGGGTGCAATTGCAGGCTGACTGACGGGACCTGGGCCAGGACCACAGGAGGCAGATGCGGGGTGTGGAGGGGGCCTGTGGAACCTATGGGGGATGACGGGTGGAAGGTGGGGCTGGGAGCAGGGGACGCATTTAAGACACAGAGATCAGAGGATTCACTCCAGTCCCAGATCCATATCACCCAGACAAGTCACTCCTTGACCGGATTTACTCAACTGTGAAGTGGGGGGTGACGATGACAGTGATGATGCGGGGAACCCCAAGGGGCAGGAGGGTGGCAGGACTTGCTACCTGGGTTGGCGAGGCCCTGCTGGTGCTGCACCAGGGCGATGCCTGCAATGGCACTGACCACTGCTGCCCCCATGAGCTGCAGCCGAATGTCCAGCCACTGCATCGTGGCGCTGGCAGCAAACTGACACCTCTGGTTTAGTTCCAGGAGTCGCTGGTTCTCCTCCTCAAACCTGAGGGATGCCCAGAGGGAAATGAGGCCAGTCCACTGTCACACTGGCCACCAGCTCCCTCCCAGGGAGCTGACCTATATGCCCTCGTCTCGTGAATCCAGGCACCGAGGTGCTTTTTCCAAGTGGCAGGGTGGAGGGGGATCTGCTCTGCCTGTCTTCAGATATGTCTGTTGTCCCCCCGGCCCCGGGACCATGCCCTCACCCACTCTGCCCATCTCCCCCAGGAGGCCTCCACCCCTTCCCCCCAACATGCCCCTTTCCTCCCCTCACCGCCCTGGGCTCTGACTGGCAGAGGGAGACTTCACACACCTGTCGGTGGCCCCTGCAGCCCGGAGCACAGGGAGGCCAGCCAAGGTGTCGGCCAGGTGGGTATAGAGTGGGGACAGGGTGAGGCTGCCCAGGCGCCGCAGCTCCCGGGAGGAGGCCCTGTAGTGGCGCTGCACACGGTAGTAGACGACGCTCAGGGGCGGCAGCAGCAGCAGCAGCCAGGGCAGCCCAGAGCCCAGCACAGCCAGGAGGCCCAACAGGCCCGCGGCGTTGGCCAGCAGGATGTTGAGGATAAAGGGCAGGCTGTCGTCCACACAGGCCACGTCGGAGGAGAAGCGGTTTAGGACCCGGCCCGTAGGCGTGCAGTCGAAGAAAGTCACTGGTGCCTGGGAGAGGCAGTGTGGTTGGGTAAGGGCGAGAACTGGCAGGCGGGCAGCCCTGGGGGAGGGGGTGGGGAGGAAGACCCAAGGCAGAGAGGAGGAAAGGAGTGAAGTCTCGGCAGAGTTTGTGGAGCACAAACGCGGGGTTGGCAGAGCTTACAGGAAAACATATCCCAGGGTGCGAGAGACAGCCAGTGGGGACCCCAAGAGGCCACACTGACCATTCCTCCCCCTCTGTGCTAGACACACACTCTGCTTTCAAGGGAAGGGAGCCACTTTCTCTCCCGAAGGTGGGACGACAGACCAGGGAGTGCACGCTAGCTGGATGCCAGGAGGAATGACCTCATTGCCTGTGGCTGGACAGAATGGTCAGTGTTATCAGTCAAAGGCAGATTCTCCCAAGGTTAAGCGCTCAGGCTCTGCGGACAACCACAGCTGCCATGTATTAAATGGGAGACCGCAGGTAAGGGACTGACTAATCTCTCTGTTCCTCATCTGAAAAACAGGGACAATAATGGGCTACACCTTACAAGGCTGTTGGTAAGGTGAAAGGCCATATACTGGGCCCGGCACTGTGGCATAGTGGGTAAAGGCACCGCCTGCAGCACCAGCATCACATATGGTAGCCAGTTCGAGTCCTGGTTGCTCCAATTCTGATCCAGCTCCCTGCTACTGTGCCTGGGAAAGCAGCAGAGGATGGCCCAAGTGCTTGGGCCCCTGCACCGATACAGGAGACCCAGAAGAAGCTCCTAAGTCCTGGCTTTGGATCAACCCAGCTCCAGCCTCTGTGGCCATCTACAGTGAACCAGCAGATAGAAAACCTTTCTCTTTGTGGCTCTGCCTTTCATTTATTTTATTTTTTTTTTTATTTTTTGACAGGCAGAGTGGACAGTGAGAGAGAGAGACAGAGAGAAAGGTCTTCCTTTGCCGTTGGTTCACCCTCCAATGGCCGCTGCAGCTGGCGCGCTGCGGCCGGCGCACCGCGCTGATCCGATGGCAGGAGCCAGGTACTTATCCTGGTCTCCCATGGGGTGCAGGGCCCAAGCACCTGGGCCA